CCCAGCTGTCCTGAAACACACTATGTAGACCAGGATGGCCTCGATTTCATAGAAATCCGCCTGCCTCTGGCTCCTGAATATTGGGATTAAAGGGGAATACTACTACACCCGACTTGGTTCTGCCTGACTTGGTTCTGCTTTTTGGGGTGTGTGTGTGTGTGTGCATGCGTGCCTGGGGAGACGAGAGGACAAGCTCAGCTGTCATTCCTCCACTTTGCTTTTTCAGACAGGGTTTCTTTTTTTAAAGTTATATATATATATAATTTTATGTGTATGAGTGTATTGCCTGCATGTATGTGAGTGCACCTGTGTCATGCAGTGCCTTGGACGTCAGAAGAGGACATTGGATTCCCCTGGAACTGGAGTTAAGGATGGTTAGTAGCCACCATATGGGTACTAGGAATCGAACCCGGGTCCTCCACAAGAGCAGTCAGTGCTCTTAACCACTGAGCTACCTCTCCAGCCACTCAGACCTGGTTTCTCAGTGGCCTGGAGCTTGTTGGCCTAGCTTGTAGGCTAGGCTGGCAGACCACCCAGCCCCTGGGATCCACCTGACTCTGCCTCCTCAGTGCTGGATCAGAAACATGCATCACCAAGCTCGACTTTTCTATTGATTGATTTTTATTTTATGTGTATGAGTATTTTTCCTGGATGCATGTAAGTATATGTATGTATGTGTACCTGAATGTGCAATGCCTGTGGAGACCAGAAAAGAGCATCAGATTCCCTGGAGCTGGAGTTATAGGCAACTGTTAGCTGCTACGTAAGTGCTAGGAACTGAATCTGGAATCCTGTGCAAGAGCAGACAGTGCTTTTAACCACTGAGCCATGTCTCCAGCACCTAAAGGTTTATTTATTCTATTCGTGTGTATGTCTATGTGTCTGTCACATGTGTGCAGGTGCACCTGGAGGCCAGAAGAAGGCACCAGATTTCCTGGAGCTGAAGCTACAGGATGCTGTGAGTCACCCAACATGGGTGCTTAGAACTGAACTCAGGTCCTCTGGAAGAGCAGCAAGTGAGCCATCTCTCCATCTCTCCAGCCCTGCAACTCCACTTTTTTCTTTTCTTTTCTTTTCTTTTTTTTTTTTTTTGGTCTTGAGACAGGGTCTCCAGTCGACCTGGAACTCACTATGTAGACCAGGCTGGCCTTGAACTCACAAAAATCAACATGCCTCTGCCTCCCAAGTGCTGGGATTAAAGGCATGCGCCACCACACCCGGCTAATGTAGGAATCAAACTTAGATCTTTGTGCTTATAAGGCAAGTACTTTACTAACTGAACTCTCTTCCTAGCCCTGGTTTATTCATTGTTGTTTTTAGTCAGATCGCTTTATTGTTATGTACTCACAAATAAAAATCTCACACAGCTAGATCAAGGAAGTCACTCACACACTTGCCCCATCCCACAGGCTACCACATCTAGCCTACTGCTGAATGGTTAGAAGAGCCATTCTGAAGTTGGGGAGCTTCGATGGCAGTTTTACATTTTCATTTATCTATCTACCATAATAGAAGGGGAAAAAAAAAAACTATGACAAAGTTGAAACTAGAAAAAAAAGTTTAATATCCTCTTTCTTGACTCATGTGTTCTTTTTCCTGAATTCCACCCTTCCTTGTCACCCAACATTGACTTGTTTTGGTCTCCTGTCTAAATGTACTATGCCCACACTTAGAACTGTTTACATATATACATGTATGCATCATGAAATATTATTCAGCTGTAAAGAAAAACGAAGTCATGAAATTAGCAGGAAGATGGATGGGCTTGAAATGTTTAATAGTAAATAAAGTAACCCACCAGGCATGGTGGTGCACATCTTTAATCCCAGCATTTGGGAGGAAGAGGCAGGCAGATTTCTGTGAGTTCGAGGCCAGCCTGGTCTATATAGTGAGTTCCAGGTCAGCTTGGGCTACAGGGAGACCCTGTCAGCTTCGACAGACCCTTTCGGAGTGCCTTCTAAGTGACCAAGGGACTGGCAAGATGGCTCAGTGGGTAAAGGTGCTTGCCTCCAAATCTGGTGAGCTGAGTTCAAACCTGGATCCCATATGATGGAGATGCCTACAAATATTCTCTGACCACCCCCCCCAACACACATAAAATAAACAAATAAAAGAAAAAATAAAAACAGAACGAGGCCCTGCTTGACCCCTCTAGCCAGAATTGTGAGATGATAAGTTTATGTTGCTCTAAGTCATTCAGGTTGTGGGTTGTTGTTATGGTAACCCCAGGGAGTAGGATGATGATGGAAGCAAAGGGTAGATGAAGTGCCTGGGACAGGTGAAAGGTGAGGGGAGGCACATGTTATAGACAGGTGACTCTGTGCCTCAGTCACCATCATCCTGGGTGTGGGGATAAGAGTGTGATTGCTGAGGCTAAACAGGGTTGGACCAGCCCAGAGGACATCATATTCATTGATATGTTTACACTCAGCTACAGGGGAAAGGTAACAGGGCATCTTCCAGACGAGGCTTGGCCAAGGTCACTCAATTCTTTCTGCAGGCCACACCCTATCCTGGCATCGCCAAGTCCAGTGACTTTGAAGAAGAATGCAGCCTGGGTCCCTGGGTAAGGGACAGGGAAGCACCCAGGTCTTACAAAAGCTAATCAGGGTCCCAGAGACCAGGCCCAAAGAAGGAGGGAATGTATAGAATTCCTTAGAGCAGCAACAGAGTCTGAAAGTTTCTATTTTACAGAGGGAGAAACTGAGACTAGTGATGAATAGGCCATAGCATTGGGGGTGCAGGGGGTATAGAGGAAGTAAGAAGTGGAGGTGATGTAGGAAGAGGGCGATGTAGGAAGAGGGAAGGGAGACAGAGTAGGGTACGGGGATAGGAGGGCGCTGGAACCTTCTGCTCTACTGGAACCCTACCGGAGCTTAAATGTGTGCCCACTAAGAATTATGCTCAGGTGTGCTGCCCTTTCTCCCACCTGAGGCCCTCTTTAGAGAAGGACTGCCAAGGGCTCTGGCCTCAGGTGGCGCTGTACCCAGCAGAGTGAGCTCAAGGCCATACAAAGTTCAAGGCTGGCCTTTGCAATGACAGCCTCTTGCCCTAAGTTCCCTTTCTTTCGACCCAGCCCTGCAAAGATGTCATCTGGGTGGGGAAGGGGGAAAAGGCTGAGGCCTGTGAGTTCTGTTTGTGCCTTGGTTTCCCCTCCTTCTTCCCTGTGGGTAGGCAAAGGGGCAGAGGGAACTCCTGAGGGTCTGGCAAGGATCCACCATCATCTCCTGTTACCCTGAGCTTGGTTCTTAGGACCACAGCATCCAAAGCAACTAAGTTGGAAAGATTAGAAGTCCCAAGTACTGGGGATGGAGAGATGGCTCAGCAGTTGAGAGTGCTTGCTTCTCTATCAGAGGACCTGAGTTCAGATTCCAAAACACACACAGGGTAGGTTCACAAACACCTGTAACTCCAGTTCCAAGGGATCTAACATCTCCTTCTGGCCCCTTTGGGTACACACACACACACACACACACACACACACACATATACACACACATGTGCATTTATACACACATTAATGAATCTTAAAAAAGAAAGAAATCCCAACCTAAGACCTCACAGATGCTAAGCAAGTGCTCTACCACTGAGATACATCCCCAGTCTGCCCCTCACTGAGGGATTCTAGGCAGGTGCTCTACCACTGAGACACACCCCCATCCCATTACTAGGAGTTTCTAGGCAGGTGCTCTACTCTTGAGCCATGCCCTGACCCCCTCACTGGGGGATTCTAGGCAAGTGCTCTACCACTGGCTACATCTTCAGCCCTTATTTTGCCTTTTCTATTGAGGCAAAGTCTCACTAAGTTGACCTGGCTTAGCAGATCTTGAACTCCAAGCCCATGAGTAGCTGGGATGACAAGACTGTCCTGCTAAGCGTAGCCCAACCCTGTCTTTTCATGGGGAAGGGGATATTGAGGCCAGACAGGAGTAGAACAGCCCCCTGACACACAGGTGTTTCATGACAAGATTAGAATCTGAGGCTGCTGAAGCTCTTATCTTGGCTACGGTCCTGTGACCAGGCAGGGGTGGAAGGAATGCAGGATAAAAGTTAAAAGGGGCGGAACTTTGAGGCAGGTGTCTTGAGTTCTATAAAGATCCTGAGAACTGGGGACGGTGGCACATGCCTTTAATCCTAGCACTTGTGAGGCAGAGACACGTGGATTTTTGAAAGTTTAGGGCCAGCCTGGCCCACATAGTGAATTCCAGGTCAGCCAGGGATGCCTAGTGAGACTCTGTCCAAAAAAAAAAAAAAAAAAA